GGAGGCGGGGCCGAACACAGCTGGAAGGGAGCCGGGCCGCGCGGAGACGCGCCTGGCTGTACCCGCGGACCTCCCTTTCCCCTCTGACCCCCCTTTCCCCTAGACCCCTCCACTCTCCGCCCCTCCTCACCTCCCTGACACCCGCTCAGGTCCCGCAGCGCCCTCTCCAGCGGGATTCCCTGCCCTCCGTCCGCGCTCTCACGGCCCCGGAGTAGTGGGGAGGCCACCTGGCCGAACCCTGTCTCCCGCACCCGCAGCCTCTCTCCCCTCTTCCCCCTCACACCAACTTCTCTGTCCGCCCTTCTCTCCTCGCACATCCTCGGGATGGTCTCTGACATCCAGTAACCCTGAACTGCCAAATCTGAATCTCCACTCTTCCTTTGCCTCACGCCCTTCTCCACCCACTTGGCCCAGAGCCCTTTTTTCCGGCTCTTTCTTGGTTTTCCCCTCCTCTGTGCTGCCTCACCGCCCTGTCCTCTCCCCTTCAGCTCCTCTGGTCCCACCTCTCCCCCCACTTCCTCTTCTCCCATCCCCAGGCTCATCCCCTGGGTCTCTCAGTAGCATCTCCTTCCTGTGCTCTGTCCCCAGTGCTCCCCACCCTCATCTCAAGGCAGCCATGGCCACCATCCCGGACTGGAAGCTACAGCTGCTGGCCCGGCGCCGGCAGGAGGAGGCGGCGGTTCGGGGCCGGGAGAAGGCGGAGAGGGAGCGCCTGTCCCAGATGCCAGCGTGGAAGCGGGGGCTCCTGGAGCGCCGCCGGGCCAAGCTTGGGCTATGTCCTGGGGAGCCTAGCCCTGCGTCTGGGACTGCAGAGGCTGGACCTCCAGGCCCAGACAAGTCTGCCGTCCTCTTGGAGGCCATTGGCCCAGTGCACCAGAACCGATTCATTCGGCAGGAGCGCCAGCAGCAGCAGCAGCAACGCCGGAGTGACGAGCTACTTGCAGAAAGGAGGCCTGGGTCTTTGGAGGCCCGGGAGTGGAGACCCAGCCCTGGGGAGAAGCGGGATCCAAGCCCCAAGGAAGCCAGAGAAAGGAGGTTGGGGGTAGGGGGAGCTCGAGAGTCAAGCCCCAGGCCTTCAGAGGCTCAGGACTGGAGGCCGGGCCCAGGAGAGCCTGGAGATAGGATCTCTAGGCTGTCAGAGGTGCGGAAATGGAGGCTGAGCCCCGGAGAAGCCCCGGACCGGAGTCTGAGACTGGCAGAGTCTCAAGAACAAAGCCCCAGGAGAAAAGAGGTAGTGGAAAGTAGACTGAGCCCAGCGGAGTCTGACAGCCAGCAGTTGGGCCTGACAGAGGCCCATAAATGGAGGCCTGACTCCACAGAGTCTCAGGAACAAAGCTGGATACAACTGGAGGCCTCAGCATGGAGGCTGAGCACAGGAAGCGAACGAAAAGACAGCTCAGAGGAGTGTGGGGGAAGAGAAGACAGGCCAGCTCCAGCGATGGCCCCGGAAGACATGACAGTGCAAGAGGCCCCAGACGGCAGTTCTGAAGGGGTGCAGGCAGCAGAGCAGAGCCCCAGCCCAGTGGAGGATGGGGAGCGGGACCTGAGGCTGACCGAAGGGTGGAAATGGACCCTGCATTCTGGGAAGGTTCGAGAATGGACACCCAGGGACACAGAGACTCAGACTCAGAAGCCAGCCCCTCCAGAGTCTGCTGAGAAGCACCTGGGGCCTCTCAGCGCAGAGGCTAGAGAAGAGGAGCCTGAGGAAGAGGCCGGCCCTCAGGGCAGGTCTCTAAGCACCCTGCAGAGCCACAGCTCTGTGCCCTGCCCCCTCCCTCCAGAGGATGCTGGGACTGGAGGCCCTAGACTGCAGGAAGAGGAAGCTGTGGAACTCCGGCCCCCGCCTGCAGCCCCTCTGTC